GGACCATAATGCTTGTTTCATCAATTCTGATGTTGTTGTAGCCTTTGACGTTCTGTGCCTACTTCTTTCTGTCAGCATTCATTTATTGATTCCCTCAATGATCCTTTAGTATGTTGATCGGTTGCATGTGATCAGAGAGCATGAAATGATATTATCTTGCAACATCCGTCTTGTCATTTTATTGTTTAGAATGCTAAAGAAAATGCAGTGCTTCAAACTTGTGGATTGGTGACTGGGTGCATTCTAGTCACTTCGGCGGAAACCTTTATATTCAGCATATCGAAATCTATGTCACCCTTAAATGAAAACAAGGGAAACGCATCGTTTTCTGAACTGGTTGACAAGGCCACTGTGTTCATGGACCACGACATAGCATAGCTGTTTGGAAACAGTGTTGTAAATGTGTGTTCTTTCTCATCTTCTAGCGTCTCTGGGCTGCAGCTTTCGGAGGCCGCGTAACACATGCAGCGAACTAAGTTGCGTTAATACCTCAAACGCACGAAGTTCAAGCAGTGTGTATGCTGCCCCACCCACATAACCCTTCGGAAGACACATCACTTGATCTATCCATTTTCCTGACCACGATCTCATTATTTAGCCTTATATAATTTTGCATAGCAATTTTTTTGATGCACAGTAGCCGGCTGGTACCTTACCAGAACGATGCCCATCCGTTACCGGTCGCTCAGGCGGCTTGCACCAGTTGCTTTTTTTCTCCTTTTTTCTAAGTATTGCGCTACAGTAGCTGAGGTGTTCCCCACCTCTGGCTAACGTGTATGATGACGATGATGATGATCCATCTTCCTGTCTCCTCAGCTGTACATACAAAAACGCCATCTGTCCTTTTCGATTTCTTTAGAGACCCTCAGTGATAAATGTGTTAGTCGAGTAAATCAACGACATTAGCGCTCGAATCACTGATATCAAACGTGTCATCCATATACTTGTAGTATAAATCCAGTGAAGCAATAATGGGCTGGATAGGACCACATTCAGGCTTGGCGAAGAAGACGTCGGCGAGAAGAGGTCCTAGGGGCGAACCCCTAGCAATTCCATCAATCTGCCGATAATACACTCCATCAAACAGGAACTGTCTGTTGAAGGTGCATCACAAGATTAGTTCTTTTACTTTTCGCATTGGAGTGCCAATATTTATTTCTTTTTCGAATGGTTCGGGTGCGCCAGTGGAGGGGACCCATCATTTATATACAGCTTTTAGCAAATACGCTACAGATGGCACAGAAGTGTAACAGACTGCCGATCGTACTGGTCAACTTGTCTGGACTCCGATCACGCATTGATTCGCGCCAAGTTATGCATGCGTTTCGGTGGATTGTCTAGACGCACGCATTATCGACCGAGTATAGAAAATCTACAATACCCTAGAACGTTAGCCAAATACCATGACTCCCTACTAACACTGCTTTCCTCAGCTTCCGACCACGACCTGAATTCATAATGAATGCCCATCAAAATGCTTTGGTCTCTGCCAGCATTAACAGTTGCGGAGTTGCACGTCATGCGCCGAAAGGCTGCTATCTCCTTGCGACTGATGGACAGACGCAACTCGGTCCCAGTCGGTGCTAGCTGTAGTTAAGACCACCGATCGAGAATTGCGCAGGAGTTTACAAAAAAGCTAATGAAACCTGGTGGTGTAAACCTGTTGTAGAGGTGAAACTCTCTAATCCATCTGGTAATACCAGAAAACTTATCCATCTTATCTGAGTCACTTAAGGTTTCCAATCTGGTGTACGCGAAATAATCTGCAAAGATGATGGCCCACTAATTACTTGTCTTTGAAGATGCTTGCAACGATTGGCTGAACATTTTAGTTCGGTGTTTTGCTGGCCAGTAGTTCCATCTACTTCCCCTGGAACGCTCACTGGTACCGAGTAGTCTAACCCCACAGATCCTCTCACTAGGAAGTTTGGCATAAACTCCGCCTCTTGCAACTCTATTAAGCACTCGGCCCCGATGAGTTACCTTCCGCCCTTTTTCAAGATAGGCAGTTCGAAAACTTATTGATTTGTTCTCAGGAGACCGGTTAAAAGGGGATGTTCCATCGTCTTGTGGTGAGTCGATAGTCGTCCCCATTTTCAGAAAGGGACTGCGCACAGTGTGCTCCAACTACATGGGTATAAATTTGGTTCCTGTCGTTTGCAACATTCTGGTGTCTATCACACTTCGCTGGATATCCCAACTTACGAATCGCTACAGTGAAAAGTACGGGCTGCATCGATCAACTTTTCACACCGTCAGATCCTCGAGCTCCGCCATATTTATCGAAAACCAACGATTGTTGTGTTCCTGAATATCTGTGCTACCTTCGATTCTGTCGACAGAACTGCATTGTGGTAGTGTATGCTGAGAAATGGCCTCCTCGGGAAGTTCATTTCCGTGCTGTATGCACTGTATGGTCTGACCTCGACTTGACAGCCTTTCACCTTCCTTTGTTGTCACTAGTGGGGTTCGACAAGGATGCCCTAACTCCACATTACTCTTCAATTTCGCCATTGATGATGTCCCCAAACATTTTATAGGTTTGTTGAACGCTGGCCTTGAGCTTCTCCATGGTAATCGGGTAGTTGATTGGGATTATGCCGATAATATCGTCTTGTTGGGTGACAGTCCACAGGCCGTCCAACTTACGTTTAACCGCTTGGTGATTGAAGCGTCAAAGTATAACATGCTCCTTATCTATCCAAGTTCAAACCTCTTTGTCAAGTCTGGTAGATGCTTGTACCTGCACTCACCATTGGTAGTGAGACACTGGAGGTCGTGGATAGTTTTGTCTACTTGGGAAGCTGGTGGGGACGGGATTTCCATGTGTATCTAAAGAGCTCGTTTTGCCTTCTGCAAGCGTAGGCACTTGTGGCACCACCATGACATCCGTCTTTCCACCAAAGCGTGAGTTTATAGTTCGACGGTCCGCGCTGTGCTGTTGTACGGTTGCGATATCTGGCCTGTTCGTACCGTTGATCTGCGCTGACGGTCTGTTTTCGAGCACCGTTGATTTCGGTCCATTGCCCGTGTGTGTCGGCTGCACCATGTAACCATTGTGGAAGTTCACGTGTCTTGGATAAAGGCAACCGTTCGCACAACGTGCTTGTCTCGATACGTCAGCCGTGGTCGCTTGGACACGTATTACGCATGCCCGATCATGTTCTTCATCGTCATGCGTCCTGTGGCTTGACACAGTGACAGGCAAATCGGAAACCGGACGCCGCCAACCATATATATATATATATATATATATATATATATATATATATATATATACGGGTCGTTTATCATCGCTTACTTTTGAGGAGCGATCTTCTCACCTCCAGCTCGATCCACTCTGGTTTCGACGGCTGAAAATCAATCTCACTTTTCTCTATAGCATAATATACTCGTGAGTTTGCTGAACCAGTAAGACGAAGCATTACACAATGGCTCAACCTATTCCACTCGTAATGGGAAATGTCTACTATCCTTACAGTGAACCAAGAAAAATATCCACTTAAGATTCTTCTTGGTGGGATACGCCCATCTGTGGAATAAATTCCTGTTGCCATTAAGGACCTGCAAGAGCCTGTCCATTTTTAACACGAATTTAAATACGTTTGTTTCCATGCCAAATGGGCTCAAACTTTTCGACCTTCAACAACCATCGAGCGCGTCCATGGAATCGGGCCTATTACAATATGAACTGTCCAATAATGTTACATATTATTTACGCAACAATGGAATTTATTTATGAAATTTGTTTATGAAATACTGACGAAACTCGCTACACCAGTGATCGTTCCACATAAGGAAACTTATCTCGCCCGTCGGAAAATATACCAATTTATTTATTTGTATACATTTCTCCGGTTAGTAACATGCTTTAAAATAAAGGCCGTGGTTAAAAGGGGAAGATAAGCTGGATGAAGACCCACAACACAAACGCCATTGAGGTCGGCTCCTTGCCATGCCAACTACTGTGTCTAGCCAAACGTTTTCATTGTTCTTCGGTCTCCAGCCCGGCAGTCGGGAGACACCAACCGACGCTAAGTTTGAAGTGATGGCTTTCATTCCCCTTGAACAAGTCCTCGCTTGGTCTCTCCTCTTCTTCCGGTGAGAAAACAGCGCACGTCGCGTGAGTCGGTGTGCTGGCATGCGCAACACGTGGCCCGGTCTTCAAAGCCTGGTGCGTGATATAATGGTGCTGAGCGGTTCACTCGCTTTTTCTGCACCTAATACACGATGCCGAACACGCTCATTGCTCACACGATATTCCCACCAGACAAGGGCTAAGCTGCGAAGGCAGCGATGATCGAACGTAACTAGCCTCTTTACGGCTATCGTCTTAATGGGATAGGTTTCCCAATCGTACAAGAGAGTTGAACGGACGGCTGCATTGTAAACTCTGCCCTTCAAGGCGAGAGTGTTGTCGCGGCGGAGATTGGCAAAGCGCCCCGAAATTTTGCTGTGCGGGATGTGGTCTCATCTTCCAGTCTACTGGTGCTGATATAGCTGCCTAAATATTTGAATTTATCGACTTCTAAGTGATCACCACCAAGGGTCAGCGCAGGCATGGGTCCTTGCCAATCTTGTATGAGTAATTCGATGGCGCTAAGCGTAATCCGACACTACTGATAACCAATGCTAATTAGTTCAGTACAGCTTGGCGCATTCGGGACTGTCGTAGAACAGCTGTTTCCTCGTTTATTGTTTACTAATGCTATATCTGGTTTGGTGGAACTGCGTGACAAGCATTCGATTACGTGGACACTTCGCGTGTTTTCTTCCTGAGTGGGTCACATCGCAACCGGGACCAGCATACTTTGTTGGTTTGCGCAAGCCGAACTGTTTGTTTTACCTTCACTCATCCCGCGTTCGACTCATATAGACGGTACTTTCTTTTGGTCTCTTACTTCGATATGTTTTTACCTAAACTGCACCAGTATTTGATAATCATTATGGACTCATTTTATCCGTTTTCTTTTTTGGTTCATCCACCGGATGCTTTTCAGTTGTTTCGCCCGCAATTGTCCACATCGTGTCCGGATGAGACAGCGCTTCGATCCCTGCCCCGATTGCCTAGCTTCAATTTGTTTGCCGGTGAATCCTTCTCCAACTTGGAGCCTCCACCGGTTCACTGTATGCAACCTCACTCATCTGACACCCTGACCGAGCCCGGAAAAACGATCACTCCTTCTTGTTTCCCTGCATGGCCAACCGGTGGATCAGGGGACCAACAACATCGAGCCGGCTCCATCTCGCACTCACCGTTCGGTTCGGCATGCGCGCCTCCAAAACAGGCGGGCACAAGTGACGTCCAACACACACTGACTTTGCAAGCGGCTGGTGTCGAAAATGTAGCTTCTAACAGCATTGGATGGTGAGTGTCCGAGCTTGATTAGTCTCAAGCGCTCATCGATTATAAACTTTGTGGAATCTACTTGGAGTCCATAGAGAAATCATGAGTTCATAGAAGTCTGGAAATAGCCGGTTAGTATATTTGTTAGACAACCTTTCATTTTTGGCGCCAAAGCTTTCTCAACCCAGGCAAGTCAGTGTACAATCGGTGTGGTGTTTTAAAACGAACGTATGCAATAATTGTGTTTACAGAGACATGGGTTAATGAGATTTCACGGTCACCAGTGTTTCGATGACTGATAGAAAATTCCAGACATTTTCCCAGGCATCACGCTGACAGATAAACCTGCGGTGCCTGCGATAGAGGGAGTCATCGTTTTCCCTCCCCTCTTCCTCCGATCGGCGCATTGATACTCGTCTCATTAGCCAAATTTTAAGATCGTTCGTTTGCGTCCGAGCGGAAACCTTGTCCAACGAGCACACTAACGGATTAGATAGAAATTGGGTGTTGCCCGCTCGAAAACACCCAGTTTCTATCAGCTTCAGCTACGGTCCTCGTGATCGAAAGACCAAGGTTCACTTCAATGTGGATCACGGTCAACATTGAGATTTGCTTGTCGCAATCCATCCACACAACGTATACTTCAAAAATAACCTTCAAAATACACTGACGGATTGTTTCTAGGCATCTCTGTACTCAGTTTACTTCATGTTACGTCATCCATTTTTATGTTATTTCCGTTCCGGTTTTTCTTTCTGATTGAACTGTGAAGCCAATCAATACATTCCCTCAAATATCGGCTAGATGTGCACAAGTCATAATATTCCAAGCGGATTGGCTCTATGTAGCTTTTTTGCACTCGGAACCGTACCAGTTGTTCCTTTCCCTTGTGGATTTCGATGACTGCACATATTGCCATCCCACTTTGGCTCTATCTTTATTTCAATAAACACTGACTTATCCCAGGCACAAAAGTAGATGCTTGACGATTCCCGTAGAATGATTGTTGTAGAAACTGTTTTAAACGTGTATCGTTGCTGAATGACGATGTTGTACATTGAGTAGATGCAAACCTACGGAACAACATGGGATCCAGTGATCGTTGATGTATTGTGTCAGAGAAATAAAAATATGCTCGCACACTTACGTACCACTTCTTTGGGTTCATGTGACACATAAATCCGGTATGAAGACACGATAAAGATACTGCACAATGGCATAGCCTAGACAAAGAAGTCCGGGGAACTAAGAGCAACCTTCAATCGCTTTTTGAAAACATCCAAATTAGAGGAGGAGGAGGTAACTGATTTTGGGAGAGTTTCATGATTGGCAAGCCAGACAAGATACTTTATTACGTCGACATTCTAGACAGCTGTATTGGTCATTCAGTTTCAGGCAGTTCCTCCTAAGTTTGATGTTGTGACTAAGTTTCAGCAAATGGCGACATACGTGTTTGCGATCGCTGCGCAGCCTTCGGTAGCGTCCGCTGAAAACCCAGTAACTTCAGTCTGCTGATAAGAGTAACTGCGTAGGCCCTTAGCGTTCTTTGTTGCCCTGAGTTGTGGTGGACCCAGCGCCTCGAAGTCACGCTTCAGCCAAGGTTGCCAAACTTGAATAGCGTCTTCGACCTGAACTCGCTCGTAGGAATTGTGCATCATTGGGAAGCTGTTGGGTCAAATCTCCCGAATGCTCTTCGCAGCAGGCCGATGTGCTGGTTGCATCTTTTCTCAGCTGCGTCAGACTGTTTTGAATAGTTAAGGCCCTCTATTCGAGCACACCAAGATCGCGTTCTTGGGAGCTTTTCTGTAATCTGTGTGTCTCAAGCCAATACATGCAGTTATGCCTGGCGTAATTGAGCAACTCGATATTTTTTACATCGTGTTAAGATCGCGCTGGAACCTTTCTTGTTCGTTCGGTCCTCTGATCGTTTGCCATCTCTTAACATCATCGCGAATGATAGGAAATCAGAATCCATTTATCTCTCTAGATCGTTTATGAACACCAAGAACAGGCGTGGCCCTAGTACCGAGCCTTGTGGCACACTGCATTCCACCTCAGGTACATCGGACATGGATTCTCGGACTCTCACCTCCGACTGACGACCATGTAAAAGATTGCCTATCCATCCCAGGTTTGGGTCGCCGATGCAATCGTATTCCCCTAGCCTATCAATGGTCTTTTTCTCTACTCCTCTCTGAAGCATCTTTTCGGTTTTATTAACAAATGCTTGGATCGACTTTCGTTCATGTATCTACATATGATCACTACGTAGCTGCTGTTAACCACTCTTGTTTCGGTTTTTGGTCCCATAGTTTCTCTGTACTAGTTCACAACCACGTAACTGTTCTAGCTCTACGTACCCGTAACGCAGTAGTATCTCGACTCTTTTCACTTTTGTGCTCTGTCCCTTGTCCATTCGGCGCCTCATCCATAACCATGGACGATCTCACTTTCCTGTTGTCTATTTCAGCTCGGTGGATGCAAACCAATCGTGCATGGTGAGTTACACACACAGTTCATGGGTTCTGATCTCACTCGTCCACATCCGCAAGCCGTTGCAAAAATGGGACTGTACACATCTTTTCGTACTAACTATACCCAACTTCCACTCAAGTAGAACACTAAATTTCCTCACCAACACAGGCTATTAACCCTCGCAGGTTCGTAGCCTACGGATACCGACGTTGTCATGTAATCTGACGGCGCGGGTTTGAGCTTTTCTAAAGACAAGGCGACCATCGCGGTATCCTTAGCCCGCGTGCGACCGATGGTGGTTGCGCGGCAGCGAAGTGTCGGTACTGTGTACCGGCGTACTGCTGATGACTTTACTTTTTCTTTCACTTCCAAGGTTCAACAGAATTTACTCGTTTCACAACCACATAGTTGTCTCTGTGCCAACTATCTTCAAGCCGAATTGGTCGTTACTCTGATTGTTTTGTTTATCGCTCCGTTTCTCTCACTGGTTGCAATTTTGTCACCCATCAGTCCCCTGTTAACTAGCCCTTGCAGTCGTCTCTCAACTGGTTAGCACCACTCTGTCTCAGTCCGAATGCTTAGTATAAGGGCAGGACTCTGCCAAACATCGTCGGACTGACATCTTTATCTTCAGAAACTTTTCCGTACTATACCAGCTATACTCCGAAGCCATCTTCCTTATCCGGTTCTTTCGTCCGTCGGTGCCTCAGATATGAGGAAGGTCAACCATTCATGGAGAGGCGCTTTAAGCGGCAAAGCCCAGTCAGCAGAAATAAGGATATGTTTTGTCCTCGGTGTGACTGCGCTTGATATGTATGTTGACAAGGTGCCTACCTGCCTATTACCCACTACCTCGTCCATACTGGCTCCAGGGGACAGTTGGTCGTTGCTGGAGGGGACGGGGTGCATGGTCTGCATGGCCGTGCTACGCTCGAAGGGTGGTTCCATGCACACGGTTTGTGTGTGTGGAGCGGACTACAGTCCAGCCACCGCCTTGTGTGCTTGATCCCCAAATACGGGGTGTTTATGGTTGCCTGTGAAGGAGTGTGGGCCGGCTCCGTTGATGAAACGTGCCTCCCGGTCTTGTTCCTTCGGGTTTACATTGGATATGCGGTGTGTGGGTGGTGCAGCCTAAGCGACGCATGGTCCCTCTGTAGGCGCAGGCGTTATGTGGCTGGCTACAATGTGAGGCAAAGCCGAAACCGGATGCCGCCAACTATATATATTCAACACTATCAATTAAATTAAAATTGGCTGCCACAGTGTATGGGAAAAAGAGATTGAAAGAGAAAACGACAGTTAGAGAAGATGAGTCTCACAGCAAGTGCTCCATTGTGTATGGTCCTTGGCCATATCCAGTAGCGTTTGCAACCAGATGTGCTCAGGGTCCTTTGGTGCACAACCCGTGAATCGGGAACGCCCAACAATAACGAGCTTTAACGTTTGCGCCTTATCGCATTGGATCCAAGTTCTACACAGACCTCCTTCTCGTCGCCTGCATTTGCAAATATGGCATGTTGTTAGTCGCTAACTAGGCATGCGAGGCACATGCCCAAGTCAGCGAAGCTTTCACAGTGAAATGATGCTGTCAATCGGTCGGTGTAGTCCGTCAAGTTTGTGGGCTCGCCGACGGACTTCCTCATTACTGATGTGGTACTGCCATCGAATACCAGCAATGCTACACAGGCAGCGGTGACTGAAGACAGAAAGCCGTTAAAAATCACTTTTGCAAACGGGCCCAGTCTCGCAGCTGTATAGCAGAATCGCTCGTACCGCAGCATTGTAGACTCGTCTCTTGAGAGCGAGGCTGAAGTCACAGGTGACGGAGGCCTTCACTGCTAACCACATTGTTGAGCCGATAGTGTTTTTCCCTTGATTCAGTTAACTAGACAACGTGAGAACGCACAGTAGCGCAGTCAAACGTTAACCAATCACCGGGGCGGCCTGGACGGACGACTACGCACGTTGCTTTTAATGACTGAGGCCCTTACATTCTATCCATCTATCTCTTCGCTCCAATTGCTTGCTCCCACCACATTTAGTGGACGGCATTCAGATAGTTTTCAGCTCGCCGGATTCCTCATTACGGTCTATCGACTGTTGTCCGTCATCAGCTCCTTTGCTTATTTTGCTGTCATTCTTATGGCTATGCTGTTGCCACGATGAACATGTCCTTGACGCGTCATGCCTTTGTCTCCTCGATCGAGATCTATTATCTTGTACCGGTGTCTGAGACGGGTGCACACTTTATCCCGACCACCTATCGGATCACCGTCTGGTTTGGTGCGCACATATAGGGCAGGTACCTGCCTGCTGTAACACAAGCGTGATTTGTAATCGCTTTTCATGCACTTGCACTCTTCCGATTCTTTTAACCATTCTCTAGCTCCTGGGCTCTTCCGATCCGAGAAGTGCGTCCTATCTACTCCATTCAGTCAAGTTCGCTCCTTTTGGCGGGCGAACCAGACAATCACTTAGTTGCAGTCAGCCAACAGGGGACAACCTGTACAGTTTGGACGCGATCTTGAGTGGGGTTGATTTGCTCAGTCTGAACAGAAGTCCGAATCAATCTGTTGGCGGTAGTAAACGGCGCACATCCAGCGATCCGAAAACCTCGTCCACTTCACAACTAGAGCAACTTATCGGACCCACTGCGCCTCCTGGATTAAATGCTGGCCACGGTTACACCTGGTCTCGTGAGTGCAACACATACGCAGCCAATCCTGTCAAATTACAGTCTGTTCTTCGCGGCGGTCGAAAGAGCGTGCTATCCGCTTGCTTCTCGTCGGAACACAACACTTTAGATGGACCGAGTAGGTTGCATTGTCTGGCACTCTGGTCTCACTTTTCTGTTTACGCCGTCTCCGGATCACCAAATGCTTCCGCATTGTTCTTTCACCCATACGAACATGTAGCGTTGTAGCACTGATCTGATGATGACTGTTCCGTCGTTGTTTATCTACCTTTTTTCATACAGCGATCGGCGCAGAACAGACCTTTTCGTCACAGTCGGATCCACTCTCTAGTCCTCATTCAAACCGTGGGCTATTTTCAGCCGGAAGCTTTCCTGACTCCTCGACTTTCGGTGTCGCCTTCTCCCCAAATTCGCCCCTTCCCTACCCATTCACTTCGGCCGTTCCGTTTGTAGCAACCGAACCACCACCTCGAATGCCGGTCGTGTTGGATGCTCCATCGGCTGTCGATGCACAGAATCGCGGGGTGAGTTGCCCTCCCTGGCGTTTTCAAGGGGTTCTCCTACCCATCCACTTGTGGTATTTGCTCTACTTTTTATCCCGATTGGTTGATGTGTCGCAGCGTTTCAATGTGCTACACGGGTCTGCACCACGCTCAACAAAAACAAGGTGATGTCACGTTAACTTCAGGTGTGTTCTATCCAGTGACGTTTCACCAGAACGCTTGACGTTTTCACACGGCGGCCGGTGGCCGAGTGGTCTGCACGCCTGATTTACAATTATAAGGTCACCTATTCGAATCCGCATAGGTGTGGGAGTCCTCGCGGTATACTCAACCCACGCGCGAATGGTGGTGGTCACGTGGCAGCGAAGCGTCGTTATGGCGTACAGCTGACCATTTTTACACTTTAATGCAAGACAACTCGGTGTCCCACCTTCACATTTCACCGCGAATTATCCCCCTGGTGTTGGTGACCGTCTCCACCTCTCTAGTTGCATTTAATTATTTTGGTGACGCCATGGGCAAAAGTAATACGCACTACTGCTTCACGCTGAGGTTTGGTATTGTATCCAACATGCTTCTTTACTGTTGTTGGACAACACGAGATTACGCTTAAACTAAATCTTGATGTGGATAAAAGGCGTTCCACTTTATTTCTTTTGCTCTGCTCTTATTCTGCTGCACATTCCATGTCAATTTTGCGTGTCTATATTCTTCCAAATTCTGTATTGGTTGTTGACATCCCCTGTGTGTGGCTGTGCTTGAAGTGAATGTTGTCTAGGTACCTACCTATCTAACACCCTCCACCTCAATCATTGGTTCCAGAACCATCGCAATGCGGCTGAAACTTACCGTTTTGTGATAGTTTGCGTGCATCAGCGATCCATTCGGCCATGCTGGGTGGTGCTTTTTGCAACTTCAGAGCCACCTCATACCAGATTCGTCAATGGTTAGAGGCCAGACAAACAATCTCCTAGTCCTCCAGGTTGGGGGTTAGAGTGAGGATGGATCCGTATTCCTTAAGACGGACTCCTTGTAGTTCACTGCCAAACCCGCTGCCTTGTATCGGGTTTTTGAACCAAACGCTTTGGTTGCGAACCCAAATCATTCTGCTGCATAGGTCTGGGCAATCTGACAGTATCCTACCCACGCAACACTATGAACCTTTCCTCTTGCGATCTCAGAGGATAATCAATGGCGCCCTGTCGGCAGCATCGAGCAGGGTGAATAGAACTTTGGATGCTACTGCTCAAGCCTTCCGGTCTTTTCTCTCTTGCTCTTTTTCACTCTTATCGTCCCGTTCCAACTTCACTTTTAACCCCCCGCATTTTCAACCCTCTAACTCTTCGTCTTCCATCATCCTTTGATAGGCGTTTATCCTCTAGTTTCAACTCACTTGGAAACGCTGAGCATCACTCGTGCCCTATCGACAAGCCCATGTCTAGCCAAGCGGTCAACCCCAGTTCATCAGCTTCTATTTGGAGTCCTCGGTCCTCCCTCAGATTGGCATGCCTCAACATACACTCATTGTTACAGATCGGTCAACATGCAGAACTTGCACGAACTTTAGAGACTTCGGTCGAAATCTGCTGCGTATCGGAAACCCGCTTACAAGGCCCGATCTCTGTTCTCACTCTGCGACCCCCTTCTGGTGACACGAGCAGTGCTTTCTCATGGCGCCTTTCCGGAGACGATGCAGCTTCGAGTACCGACCAAATCGGTGTTGGTATTGTCCCGAGTCCCCGGGCTGAGGCTACTCTGGTTGATTTGATCCCAGTCGGCAGCCGGATATGCGCCGTTAGATTAGCTGGCTCGTTCTAGGCTTCGAAGTCGCGCGGGTCCAATAGGTTTCTGTTTGTCATCGATGCCTGCGCGCCCACAAATTGTAGCGCCGACTCGGTGAACAACGACCTATCGCCAACTGAACGAGCTCCTTCGCCACACAGGAAGCACGGACACTGCAGTGCTAGCTGGGGATCTGATTGCACAAGTTGGAAAATTGTCTAGTGGAAACTTTATCTCAACGGCCAACACGGTGCGAGCTTCCATAATGATAACCCTGAACAATTACCGTGTCTTCCCGAATATAAGCCCGTCCATGGATAGGCCGACAGTATAACTTTGTACTATCAACTTTGTTCAAAATCGTAAGCTCCTATATTAGCCAAAGCCCCGAAAAATCAGCATAAAGAGAAGCGAAATTGTTTCTCCACGATTTTGACGTCACCGCTTCCTACCCTCACTTGAGTGTGTTCAAGCGAAAGCTATTCAGTTGGGTTGACCGTAATCAATGGGTGCTTTAGATTCGCTACCCAAAATAGCGCTAACGCGACGTCACACGACCCAGCTAGGAAGGAATGTGGTTTCATTTCATCCGATCTCCCATAGCTGTGGAAACATGAAAAAATATCTCAACAGAAAGGATGCGCATATGCTGCTGGCTAAAATTGAAGTTATCGCGTTTGCCGTGCAATCTGATACTTTTATGGCTGCGCGCCATTTCACCGTGAATGAAAGGCAAGTGGGATAATGGCGAAAGGAAAAACTTAGAATTGCCACTGATGCTTGTAGGCAAAAAGCAACATGTGGTAGAAAAGCCATGTTTCCTGCACTGTAGAAAAGTTAGCGCAGTGTGTTATGCAATTATGGCACAATGGGTGGTATTAAGGGGAGAAAGTGGTAGAGGTGTGCAGTGAGTTCTTAGACGAATTTTGCATATGACTTTTTTTAATTGCTTATAACCTTTTATAAGCCGACCCCCAATACAGAAATGAAAAATTGTCCAACAATTATCGGCTTATATTTGGCAATATGCGCTACTTCATTTGAGTGAAGATGCTCGCTTATTTCTTGCGAGCACTAACTTCTGACACAGCACCCGCCGGGGAGTGATATGGCGCCCACCAGCTTCGAAACAGTCATGGACGCAAATTGTGATCAGTTACCGCTGGAGTGGCTGCGTCCAAATCTGTCGTTCGATTTGGAGCACATATGTGGACACTGACCATGCACTTGTATGTGCTGACATGCGGATGCGTTTTGGCGGACGCCGTCGACTACCCTGTGAGCGTATACACAAAAACTGGGGAAGCCAGATATTCTGAATGCTTATCGAAGTATGCTTGATTTCGGGTTAAGCAAGAGCTCACTGAATACTGTTGTAGGTCACTGGTCGCATGTTCACCAGACCTTACTAGCAGCAGGTAAATCTGCATGTGATTAATTCAATAGCCGACATGCACACTGGGTCTCTTCACAGTCTCTGAAACTTATCGATGTTCGCCGGCACATTCCGGCTGGAAACAAACAAGACGAGACTCGCAGAAACAGAACCAAACTCCATGCTAGCCTGATGAGAGACCGCGAATCCTGCTGGTCTCGTCGTGTGTCAGAGATGAAAGTGTCCGCTGTCGTTCGTACCCATCGGAAGTTATTCCTTCTAATACGGGAAACGGACAGCAGATGACTTGACGTTAGTGAAACTATACGTGACGAGAGTGGACAGCCTATCCATAACTTGTCAAAACGTTTGGGGCGTTAGAATGACCAGCATGAAAGGGAATTTAATCGACTGGAATTGTCAGATTTCTCGCCGGTCGCTGATCGCTCTGCTCCATGGGTTGTATCTTTGGATCCACCCTCTCGAACTGCTTATATTGATTAAAGCCACGGGACCAGATGATGTTCATCCAGCCCTCTTCAGATTCGGGGACCCTGCTCTTGTTGCTGATTTATGCAAATTACTAGTGAAACTGTGGGAGTAGGAAACTGTCTCGACAGACTGGATCCGCCTAGTCATCGTCCCAACTTTCAAGGGAGGCACCCGTTCCGATTGTGGCAATTATAGAGGGATCGGTCTGATCTCCATCGTGTTCAATTTGCTTGCCTATTATCCTTCACAGACCGACTGGCACTTGTGGAAACCAGATTCGTGAGGAGCAAGCCGTGTTCCCTCGAAGTCGAGGTCGCATCCATCACATCTTCACTTCGCGTCAGTTTTTGGAGCACCGTCACATATATTGGTGACGCACCGTAGTCGTGTTCCACAACATCAAAGATGCCTTCGCTTCGGTGGATCGATGTGCCCCTTGAGACTGTCTGCTAAGGACAAGTGTGCCCGAAAAACATGTAAATATTATCCGGGCGCTTTTCGCGCGTAGCTTGGGAAGAATGAGGGCTCACGGCAAGCTGTCGAACCCTTCAATATCTTCAGCGGTGTAAGTCAAGGATGTCCGCTGTCACCATACCTCTTCAACTTCACCATTGATGAAGTCATGGAGATCTCGTTCACAGGACACAACTTAGAAGGTGTAGAGCTGCTCCCAGACGCATGACTTCTTGGCTTGGAGTCTGTTGAAGACATTGACCTCCTCCATGACAGATTACATCGTGCCAAGCTGCACTGTACAACTTTTCACTGGTTGTCAGCTATTTCGGGCTATGCCTTTTACCCTCCACACTCAAAACTTTTCTCCAAGATTGGCAATGACCGCCTTCTGCGCTGACCTCCGGTGGAGGTCATCTAGAAGTCGTTCAAAAATTCAACTACCTAGGCAGTTGTATCAGCTCCGTTGTAATTGAAGACGAGGTCACAAACCGTATAACAAAAGCATGAGGCGCTTTTATTAACCTTCACCGCCTGTGGCACCGGCGCAACATCACTCTCTCCCTGAAGGGTAGAGTGTACAGTGCAGCCGTGCGTTCAACCCTGCTGTACCTTCGTGATACCTCACCCATTAAATTGACAGACGTAAAGATGCTAGATACGTTTGACTACTGGTGGCTTGGAAGTTTGGCTCATGTCTGGTTGGAACGCGATGTAAGCAATGACCTTGTTCGACGGCATGTTTATGACGTAGTAAGATGAAGCAAACCGCTCAGCATCGTTATACCACGCACCTGGCTCCGCTGGCTGTCAAGAGTTGCGCATACCAGCCCAACGACTCCCGCGATGTGCGTTGTTTGCCAGGCAGGGGTGTGGATAGAAGAAGGGGAGGCTAAGCGATGGCCTAGTCAAGAGGAATGAATGCCCTTGTTCGAAGCTTGCCTCGGTTGGAGCCTCTTGCCTCCCTGATTGGGGTCCGAAAGACGATGAACACGTTTGGCTGGATACACTTGTTGACATGGCTAGGAGCCGACCTCATTGGCGTTCGTGCTGCGAGTTTCTTTGTTTCTCCCCCTTCGCTTAGGCTGCCCTTCCAACCACGATCACATTTACTAGAAATAATGCCATTTTTTGCAGCACAATAGCCGGCCGTTAGCTCTCCGGAACGCTGTATATCCGTTGCTGGTGACTCAGCCTGTGTGCCTCTTGCATCTTTTTCTTTGCATTGTGACGCAATGGCTGAGGTGTTTTCCACCCCTATCTAACGTGTATAGTGATGTATTGTGATGACTGGCTCCCGGAGACTGAATCGTTACTGGGGGACGGGATGTACAGTCCTCGTGCTGTGCTAGGTTCAGAAAGTGGTTCCATCCAGCGTGGAGGGACTACGGCCCAGAGACCACCTTGTGTACGTCGGGTACGCATAATGCTTGATGGATATATATATATATATATATATATATATATATATATATATATAGAGAGAGAGAGAGAGAGAGAGAGAGAGAGAGATGGTTGGAAGCATCTGTGCCCTCCATATGGCAGCCACAGGGCATCTGCGCCAACAGAGGTGCCATGACCTCGGTCTCGATCGCCTAGAATCCATAGGCGCCTGTCCCTTCGTCTCCGGCGTTTTTCCTTCGCGTGCAATAGTGCCTTCTCCTGCTCCTGGGTAACCGCCCTCTTGATCAGCGCACGCCATTCGCGCCGATCAACTGCCTTTGATTCCCAACGCCTAAAATCAACATTAGTTCGTGATGAACTCATCTTGATCATGTCCTGATACTGTAACTTCGGTTTTCCAACGTGCTGCTTCCATTTACTAATTGTCCATTTGAGAGCTGCTTGGGAATCCGCGTTGAATCCATGCGGCTGATGTGCGCGATCCACCTCAGGTGCAGAGGCGAACTATGCAGTCCACTGCATACATGCCACTACGGCGCAACACTTGCGTATCTGTGTCACTGTCCTACTAGCCGATTCGCAGAAATTAACGTAGGTGTTGTTGATGTATGTGCTCCATAAACGCACGTCCTTCCGATTAAGCATCCACGTTTCACTGCCGTATAGAAGAACGGACAGCACCATCGACCGGGATACAGCTTCGTGCCAGCAGTCAGCTGGTGCTTTCTCCACGCGCGATATTCCAGCTTACCAAGTGCAGCAACCGCCTTCGCTACGCGGATTCGTAGCTCGCTCATCATCTGCAGGTCGATAGACAATACGCTTCCTAGGTAGCAAAATTTCTATACTGTTTTCAACACGTCAGCTAGAGTCTAGATTTGAAACAGACCCACAGACTTCATTCCTGGTGAATGCTGAAACAGACAAACAGTCTTGCTTTTGTTGACATTTAGCCCGAATTTGGCCGCCGTCGTCATGCACTCCAACTCATCCGCGCTGTATGCAAACAACACAGTCATCGGCATACAGCCGACATACGGATGACTGTCTCACGCACTTGCGTTCTCTCCCCGAAACACCGGCTGTTCAGCAATCTATATTCAATACGGTGATCCATACGGACACCGTAATCCCAAGCAACATCAAAATTACAGGTCATCACAGTATAAAGGTAAATATTGGACGCAATCATACATCACACCAGACACAACATCAACGTCATCTTCCCAGGTCTGTTCATTCTGCAGACAAACTTGTGCAGACGTTCGATTAAACTTACAAACTTACTCGGAAAACCAAGCTGACCCAACATCAGCCACAGTGACTCGCGGTTCATCGTGTCAAACGCTTTGATGAAGTCTACTGAGAGCGGGTATACCAGCAAGTATCGCTTTGCATTTCTCCTACACCACCATATCTATGGGATTGCGGTGCGAACGGAATCCGCATTGTTCTTCCATCATGTTCGGTTCAACCACTTGAGTGACAAACCGGTTGAGCAGTATTCGTGCGACCGCTTTACTAACACGGTTCACCAGGTAGACATCACGATAGTTCGTAGCGTATTGCTTGCTCCTTTGTCCTTTTACAGTGATAGCACAAGGGCATCCTTCAGGTTAGCTTACAACTCTTCTCCTAACCACACCCTTTCACCAAGTACTATATATATATATATATATATATATATATATATATATATATATATATATATATATATGTGTGTGTGCGTGTGTGTGTGTGACCCTGACTGTTTGCTTTGTGTGACCCATACACGCGTTCGACATTCTTCATCTAGTACTTCTCCTTGCGTCCTCTGATTGTCTAACTTTATAGCTGTGTAATGTGATCCAAATCCTTCTCACTGCTCTTTATGGGTTCGATCACCTGACTTTGAGATACAAAGGCTGTACTAATGAGTTAATTTACGAACGCTTGATGTTTGAGTATGTAGTTATATTAAAGGCACAAGATCGGTATTCCGTGGGAATTTTAATGATGGTTAGCAGCAGTGATGCTTGGTGTTCAAGAAGAACAAACTTGACTTGTACAGCATACGAGAGTTTTTGATAAAAACGTTTGGTCAGCAAAACTAGACTAGTGCCACATCGAACGGCATCCTTCTCTAATTGCGCGACACTAATAGGAGACGCTAATAAATTTCTCACCCTTCCTCAATGGGTTGCTGCTCACATATTTATCAATAGTTGGAGTCTAGTATCAGTGGAGCATATGTATAACTGGCTGCTTCTTCATTGTACTCTTCGTTCTCATTATTTAAACCTTCCGGAGCAATCATGCATATCTCGTTCTCACAGAATGTTGCTCCCACATTTGTGAAACACCAGCTTTTATGTCGCAAGACATCTAACCCACCTTTATATTCAGATCTCGAATACTCTGGAACTCTCCCTTTCATTGATTGGCATGCTTGCTAGCCGTAATATTCCCGCGGTCCTTCGAATTTTAGTTGTTTACACACAGCTATTGAGTCACTATGAGGTTCATTTTCCCCCGCTGATCGATTCCTAATCAGCTACTGATATGAGTACCGCATTTCCTTCTTCCTCTAGGTCTATCTGGGCACCTCGAAACCGATGTACACTCAAGTCAAACCAACCCCGCGCTTTGAAAACCACTCCCGCCCATTTATCCACCATGGGTTACCTAACGTAGCTCAAACCCCCATTCCTCTCTCTGCTTCAATCGGTGAAGCGACCATTCAGCGGCAATCTCCATCCGGAGCTTCATCTTCCGGTTCAAATGTCAGTCGGGCTCTACAGAGCATGTTATCACCGGATAGCAGCAGTGCCCCAAAACCTGTGTTGGCCAAATGGCGTCGCGCATGCAGCTTCTACTTGCGTGGCTACTGCAAAAAAGAGGATTGCGAATTTGCACATGACCTGACCAAAGTCACCTGCAAATTTTGGGAAATGGGCGAATGCTTCAAGGGTTCCACTTGTCCGTTCCTACACGGTTACCCACCTGAAATTGCCCCGTCCGATACACCGGCTTGCTAAGGGAAGGTTAGATGACATCGCCACGGATCCAACGTTGATGAACCTGTCTTGTTTATTCTTTCTCCTTACTTTGAGCCATTTTTCTTCACTTTGTATCCACCTTTTGTTCGGATTTACTAGGTTGCCGGTGAACGAGATACGCATGTCCAAACCTTGTGGACACAGGATCGAGTTTAGACGAAGAACACTCTGTTTCCTTACGTCTTCACAAGACTATGTTGTCAGTCAGTCTGGCCTTCCCAGGTGTATTCTCTAGTATTATTTTAACGTAGTTCACTTTGCTTTGATGCTTCGTCTCAATCATATTCACTTTTTTAATGCACCACACATTGGGCGACTGCTCCAACTTTGCTCCCCGTGGTAACAAAATAGTTCTTTTTTTACTAAAGTGTTTTCCTCGGTTTTTTGTGACCCACTGGTCTTCCCTTCTGTCTTTTCGAATGACTCTGATGTAATATGTGCACTTTATTACTATATACCTATATATCCTTTCATATTAATTCAGCACTTAGGTCGTTAATTTTTTTAATCGATCACTACTTTTTTCTTATTATTCCCGGACACACCGACTTGACATTTTTACGTGTGACCTGTCATAGCAAACCACTTTGGTAGCTTGTTTTATCCGAAATTTTGATGATTCCCCTTTTCCACTTGATTTTTTACTCATCCTTATCGATTTCATACCTCTCTTTTTTCACCTTACTAAAAAATTTAATAGATCTCTTTGATATCTCTCTTCTAAAGACGACCAATTCGTTCAAACTCATCGACCTCCTTAGTGTCCTACGTGACCACCACCGTTTTTCACTCAAACCTATACATTTTCAACACCTGCGGTGGATTGAAAAGGGAAGTTTTGATGTTCCTCTTCTGTTACAATCATTTCCGTCCCGCGGCTTTTTCGCGTTCGTTTCTCTCACCAACTCTCCTTTTCTCGCTCCCCACCGTCTGCGCATTTTTTGAGCAAGCGTCGGACCGGTCTGAGAATCTTTTTCTGGTCCCCTGTCCTTTTCACTCTGCTTTCACCCACGTTTTCCGGCATTTGTGTTTGTGATTTCTTCCCAATCCTAGTCGGACTTCCTTTGTCTATCACACCCAGTGTTTCGCTGACATATACCGACCGCCCGATTCTAGTATTTCTCGGTTCTCTTCTACCTTCACTAATTTCGTCTTTCCCTGTTTGGCCGTTTTCCCGTCCTTCGTGTACGTTAGGTGAAACGTATGTTCACTCGGATTCTTTAACAGCCTGCGGAATGGCCACCTGGTTCTTTCTCATGTGGATAAAAAAATCAATTCTGTGCACTCGTTATTTTTTCGACTTCCTTGCAGTGGAGGGTATTTTTGCTCCATCTTCCCTGTAACAATATGCATTGAGTCTCACATTGCGATATCAAACCGGATCTGTGGTGGTGTGGCTGCTTGGCTTAGATTAACCCGCCATCCGCGGCTTCTGTCATAGTCTTCGACCTACTGGTGCATATAAACAAATAAATAAATAGTTTATTCTCGTCATTGCGAGGCACACCATCAAGGGCGTGATCATGGTAATACAGACTTGTATGATCGGCAATTGCACAAATTAGTACATTTTGACAAATAGCATAGGAATTTATGTGTGTGTTGACAAGTAAAAGTATGTTTAACTGTGTACTTGGAAGGGGCCATGTTGTGTGAGTAGGTAAATGTGACTCTGTGTGTGTTTTGTTCGTTGTGTTCGCCATCAAAGGGGGGAGTCAATGGAACGCTTTGAAGCGGATGACGTTCGTGATGTGTGAATGATCCTCCGGAAAAGGGAAGAGGCAGTGACTTTATTTAGTGGCGAGTCACATCCGCCACGTCACAGTGTTGTTAAACGGATATCTGTGGTTTTTTATAGGGAGAACGCTTGCCAGGCGAAATTCCACCACATCCTGGAACACTGCCGCCGAACGATTTGCTGGAACGGGATTTACCCGAACCACCCAGCTGGCACCACGAGGAGGTTGTTCGGCTAGCCAGTTCGTTGGAAGTACACAAAAGCTCACTGTCAATGAATCTTTGTTCCTGAGTCCATTTGGTAGGGGATGTGTTTTTCATCATCTTGATAATAATAATAATAATAATACGTATGTTTCTCCTGATGCGAGACACTGTGTCGGTAGCGGCGCAGATCAGTTTGTACAGAAGTATCCATGCTCTTGCATGGATGGAATATTTGGGTATGCGTTTCATGTGGTAACGTTCTGGTGAATGGGAGAGGCAAAAGCCTGGTTTTGAAAACATTGGTGTTTAGATGTTTTTGGGCCCCTCTTGGATTTTTTCCCTGTGAATATAGTGATTATGGGATTTAGATCAAGGTAAAACTGGGTAGTCTGCTTCTAAATGTTGCCACATTGTCACCTGACCTGAGTGTTATTAGTAGTTTATTCCACAGATAGCTATATCTGACCAGGAAGAAATTAGAGCAAACATTCGTTCTAGCCTCCGGTGTATTCAGTGTAAAATTTCTGTTGCGAAGCGCTCGAGTTGAACAATGTTGTAATTCAAGTGTAGGCAGGTCAGAATAGGTCTTTTTGTGTAGCACGTTGAAAAGCAGCAACAAGTTGTGCTTCAATCATCGAACCCAAAGTGGTATGCGTTGAACTTTATTGCAGCGTTCTCGATAACTCGGCAGTGTTTACCAATCTGCTGTTTAGTAAATGACCTCTGCAGGTGCTCCACAGCAATGCTGTCACTCTTTCTCATATTGCCGTATATTATGCTGCAGTATTCGAGGATGGGGCGAGTGAGTAGCTTGAAAAGCTCAACTCTAGCATGAGTTGTGTGGATTTTGTTTGATATATTGAACATAGATTATCTGTCACGTACTAATTTGTATTGGTCCTGCTCGGAGAAATTGAAGGTAGAGAAGTTCCTATTTTCAACGTCTCGCGTGGACGGTTGTGTTTGGAGCGTTCATTGTTTAGGGATGCATCAATCGTAAGACTTGATGCTTGATTTCTTACCCGAGAGGTTCATCACCCATCTGCAGCACCATGACTCAAGGGAATGTAAATCATTTTGAATAAGCAGTAATGTCCAGTAAAGTTCGTCACGCTGAAGCTTATAGACTATTTTGATATCGTAAGCAAATAAAAATGATGTACCATGTTTTACAGATGTGGTGATGTCATTGCTGTAGAGCAAAAAGAGTGGGGGACTGAGTACGCTCCGTGGAATGACTCCACTGGTGATTGAGCGTGGGGAAGAGCGATAATCACCTAAAGTGACTACTTGATGACGGCCAATCAGGTATGATGATAGCCAACCTAGTAATGGGTCCCGGACCTCAAAGTTCTCCAACTTTTGTAACAGTCACTTGTGCGGTACTCGGTCGAATGCTTGGTGTGTGTCAATAAACATGATTACTACTGCATAGCTGGAATCGATTGCTTCTGAAATGTGGTTCAGGTAATTCAGTTGGCAGTGGTGCACGATCGCTTATTGAGAAAACCATGCTGTGAATTATTGATCAGGCCAATAGAATCGACAAATTTCCTCATCTCCTTCCTGAGCGGTTTTCCAAATAGCCGAGCGATTATCCGAGTGTGGCGGATTGGTCGGTAGTGATCAATCGTTTGTTTGGGACCTCCTTTGTGCCGTTGGTCTGGAAAGTGGCTAGATTCCATCGAGAGAGTAAACATGCTAATCAAGAGCAGTGGTGATTAGCACTGGCTATCTATCGTTTTAGGCTATGCTTTGCTCCATTGAAATGCAAAGTACTTCTTCAAGATTGGCAGGGACCCGCTCCTGCGCTAACCCTTTGTGGCGATATGCTAGAAGTCGTTCAGAAATTCAACTACCTGGGCAGCTATATTAGCGCCCGTGGTATCGAAGATGAGGTTACGAACCGTATAGCAAAAGCTCGAGGTGCTTTTGCCAATCTCCGCCACCTGTGACGCAGACGCGACATTAGTCTCGCCCTGAAGGGCAGAGTTTATAACGCAGCTGTCCGTTCAACTCTCCCATATGGTTGTGAAGCCTCGCCCATCAGGTCTACAGACATAAAGAGGCTCGTCACATTTTATCCTCGCTACCTTCGCAGCTTAGTTGATGTGAGCAATGAGCGTTTTCGGCATCGCGTATTTGGTGCAGGAAGAGCGAGTGAACCGCTCAACACCATTATATGACGCACTAGGCTTTGACGGCTGAGCCACGTGTTGCGCATGCCAGCACACCGACTCCCGTGACGTGCATTGTTTGCGCGCCGGCGGTGCGGTTGGAAGGAGGAGGGGAGACCAAGCAATGACTTGGTCGAGAGGAATGAAAACCCTCACTTCGAAGTTGTCCTCGGTTGTTGCATCCCGACTGCCTGGCTGGGGTCCTAAGGACAATGAACACGTTTGGTTGGACACACTTGCTGATATGGTGAAGAGCCGGCGCCAATGGCGTTTGTGTTGTGAGTCCCTTTGTCCATCCCCCTCTTGCTTAGCCTCCTCCTCCAATCACGATCTCAGTCGTTAGGCATAATACAACTCATTTTGCGGCACGATAGCCGGCTGTTAGCTCTCCGGAACGATATCCATCCGTTACTGGGGAAAGCCGGCGTGCCACTGTTGTTGTTTTTTGTTATTTCGGTACAATAGCGGAATTGTTTTCCACCTGCAGCTAGTGTGTATAACGAATGACGAGCAATGGGATATAAGGCCCTCCTAGTTTTATGGTGATTGATAAAATGCTATCAGATCCCAGGTTGGAAGATGGCCTGATTGATTTGATAACTTGATGGATACCGTTGAGCGAGATATGGACTCTGCTTAAGAGGTTTATTCCTGTAAGCTCTGTGCACACAGGCACAGGGTCAGCTTCGCGACCCATAGTAGTGGCATAAAACTCACTGAATGCTCCACAGATTTCAGCTGGGTCATGGAGTAAGTGACCCTCACCGTCAACAATTTCGGTAATCAGAGGAGAACGGTCACTGGTTCTACGATGCAGTATTTTGACAAGCTCCCTAGCTTTGCAGCTTGTTCGTAGGG